TTCATCATAAGAAGAGTCATTCTCAATAATGTCATCATCCCAATGACCTAATGAATCAACACTCCAATTTACTGACCATTTCAATATTTTAGTAGGAAGTGAAAATTTAGGTATTTCTTTCTTTTTAAAAGTAGAATATGTGTAAGAAGATAGTAAAGGTAGTGTTATGTGATTTGGAATTATTGTTAAGTCAACTTCTCTTGTCTTTGATTTCTCTCTGTGTCTATTTGAATGCCTTTTTTGGTTATGATACCATTCTTTAAATAATAATTTGTTGTAATAAGAATATCCAGGTGTTGTGACAGGTATTCCAAGAATTGGTTTTTGTTTATCCTCACCACATAAATCATCTAATTCTGTGAAATCATATTGATGTTGTTGTGGTTGGTGAGAATGTTGTGAAGTTATATGGTGTTGTTGAATTTTATCAAAATTGAGACAACAAGGTATTTCTGTAGTTAAATCATCTTGAACATAAGAAGTGATATTAATTGATTGATTCCAATCACCAAGAAATGAGGCATGATCACCAATTAATGATAAAAAATGAGTATTATATTTTTGAAGATACACTTTGAACAACAAGTCATTTTGATATGACTTTCTTGAAGATTTATTAATTAAATTTGCTGGATATTTTTCAAGTGTTTGTAATTTGAGTTTTTTAGTTTTTCTTATATGAAGAGTCTTATCTTTATACTCCGTTTGTTGACTTTGAACATTTACTTCTTTGTCTAGTTGATTTGTAGTTATTAATTCAGCAAAATTAGCAAATGCTTGATAAATATCATCAACTCTATAAGAATAAATCAACAATGAAGCATCAATAGAAGTACTAGCTCTTTGGAATTTGCTTTTATCATCATTTTCATTAATTATATCTTGCATCAAATCAATAATAGGAACATCCCATGCATTCTTTTTATTGACTTTATTTGTGTTACATAATTGAATACATTGTGCATAGAGTTCACTGATGTTATTCTTATTCATTTGTTGTAATAAATTAATGACATTTTGAAGTTGAACAAAATTGATTAAGAAAGTTATGCAACATAAAATATTAAATGTTAATGAGGTATTAAAAAATATTTAATTTCAATCAAAGTAATTTTCTTGTTGCAGCTGAATTAATGAAACTTCTTAATATCCATTCATTTTCTGCATAGTCCATATCAATTGTTCCTAGTTTGATTTGGTATGGTCGTAAATCAAATCTTGGACCAATTTCTTGAAGAACTAATTGATGTTCTTCATTATAGTCATATGCATGATGTCTAAATGTAATATAATCACTACTGTTAGAAAATGTCATTACTCTTTTTGAATCACTTTTTGGTACAGGGAATAAATATTTAAGTATCATTTCAAATCGTTTACCTAATGGTGTAGTGAGATTATCAAATATTAAGTGTGGATATACTTCACTAAATGTTTTAGATGTTTTTGTTTCATGTCTAGAAACAACATTATATAACCCAAAATATGCTGTTGGTCCATATGGAAAATGTGATATAATCATTCCATCTGGTTCTCCTCTATTTTCATGAACAATAATCAAATCAGTTACATCATGGCTTCTACATGTTTCAACTAATTGTTTAATTTGAATATTACCTCTGTTAATTCTTGTTGAATTTGGAATAATTAACTTAATTTCTTTAACAAATTCTTTTAATTTGCTTGATGGGTCTTTTGATGTTGTAATAAAAACATTTGGATCTTTAACTCCTGCCATTGCATATTCACTATCATATGTTGAAACTTGTCTTGTTGCATCATCTTCAGCATCCATTCTAGTCATTGCAACATCAAACCCTTCTTTTGCATGAGCAGGCAATTGAGTTCCATTCTCAATTGTTTGAGCGATAATGGCTTGTTTGTCAAGTCGCGTTTTATCATATTTTTCCATACTTTTTTTCATTAAATATTCTCTTCGTAACCTTGATGTTTGTTTTTGCTATATTCATTGAATATGTATTTTTTTTTCATATGAAGTGATATGATATAATCATGTATTTAACAATGCACAATCCACAAACCATTTCTTTCTGAAATTTTTTTAATTTTTTTTTTAATTTTTT